CCTTTAAACTCCACAACTCTCTTTCCCACCACCATTTGGGCTGGGTCTTCAAAAAGCTCTAAGTAAGAGATCTTTCTTAATGGGGGTTGGACTAAATGACCTTTTAAGGTCCTTTCCAACGCAAAACATTCTGTGATTCAATGATTCTTAATCTTTTGATAGTAAAGGTATGATATAATTGAGAACTATGTCTGGGCAATGGAAGTCAGAGTAGTTTCTGCTTCAGACATGATGACCCCTTTGCAATTACTGGTATCTTATAATTGCCCTGGCTCCTTGATTCATTCCATCCCATTTCCTTTCCTATACATCAGAGTTAAACAACGTTTCTCTTCTCTTCCTTGCCAATCTCAGTCTTGCAGCCCAAATTTCAATGTTTGTCTTATCCACACTAGCAGCAGAGGACACAGACTCAGTCAGTAGAAGGTTGTATCACAAAAAGGTCAGTGCTTTATTTTGTCACCATACTGTGTTGCCTTAAACATGCTGCTGTAGTTTCTGTTACTACAGCTAGTAGACACAGTCAGTCTCTTACAGTTTAATACAAAGATAAAAGCATTTCTGAATAGGTTTTCTGGGTGAGAAGAGAAATTAATCCCATAGAATTGGTTACCGAAATGCATATAAATGAAAGATAGAAACAATATGAATCAGGTGACTGTAATTCAGTGACCCATGTTTCTACTGGCATCTGCAGAAGTAACGTATTTGATTTTATAAATGACACGTTTGTTTTTTTTTTTTTTCTATGAAATCCTCATAGTGGGAAACTCCTATTATTTTAAACAGATGAACTAAGTACTGGGAAAAAAAGCCCTGTCTGGTTTTAAATGACATTTTAAAACTAGTACAGGCCCTAAATTGACTATTTATAAACAGGATACTTTGCAAGTGTTTAAACTTTGTCAAGGCCTCTAAAGTGGGGGAAATGCCAGCATGACATTTCTGTTAGTCACCCATAGGTTTTAAAACACTTAGTGTTACCCAAAATACTTTTAATTCTTAAGATGCATTGATATAAAATATCACTGATTTCTGATAACTGCCATTCATTATTTTACTAGGAAGGCAAATACACTGCATTCTCTCCAAGAAACAAAAGACAACAAACCCCAACCTCTTCTTAGCGGCCACATGCCCAGACCATAGACATATCTCCCTCTCTGGGTGTAAATGCTGTGCTCTGGGCTCTGTAGCCATTCCCTCTCCGCAATGCCAATGGTAAGAGCCCCATCAGCCTCCTGTCACCTATGACTTTTACCCACCCACACTGCCTCTCAAGTCCCATCAGTTATTAAACTGATAAATGTCCTGTAATTAAACCACATTTAAGCCATCGTAATCTTTTACTCAGCTATATAGTGACATTACACTTTGGGATCAGTGGTTTTCTTGAAAATCTGATGGCTGATTTTCTCTTTTTACCACTTTGGCTGCTATCTTTGTACTTCAGTAAAGCACCAGAACGCTTTGTAGCTTACCATCATTCAGGACTTGGCATCCAACTCAGTACTTGGTCAGTGTTAGGTTCACCATGTCTTTGGCCAACAATATGTGTTCAACTATGGCAACAATAAAAGGATTTTTAACAACATCAAAACTTGTCCAAGTGACAAAAGATTGTCCGGGGCAAATGGTTATGGTTTTTAATGCCATATGGGTTTGAATCTGCCTCAATATCCGAATAAGGCAGCTGTGCTTGAAAATGCTGTCTTCAAAAAATGTAAGATCTCTGCTGAAGTTTTGAGCAACACCTCAAGGCTTCCTTTTTTATCCTTAGCTGTAGAATTACATTTTTCCCATGTGTTCTGGTAAACAACATGGTAATATCTCCTACAGAAAGTTTGTGTGTAAGCTTGCAGTTATAGAAGTATTTAAAAATAGAAATTTAGTCAGAATCCAGTCCTCCAGCTCTTAATCCTGTCTAATCCTTTGTCAGGACCTTATTTTATTCAATTTGCTTCACAGTCTTTCCAAATAACTTTTTTTAATGTAAGTGGATGGTGAACGAAGTGAAGTTTTCTTTGTACACTTGTGAAACATGTAACTGTTGCTTCTGTTGCTTGGTAAGAGGGGGGTTTATATACACCTGATAGTATATTTTCAAAAATAACTGTCCTTATTGCCTGCCTTCAAGGGGAGCAGATTTATAGACCACAGACATAACTCCCTCTCTGAAAATCAGATGTTTTGCAGTGGACAAACAAACATCCAAAGTCATTCACGTCATGACATCAAGTTACTCTACTATTCAGTCATTATTAACGCTTTAAAGTCCTGGCCAAAGTATCTGGTACACGTGGTTGCCGCCTTCCTACAGGCATTATTGCTCTTGCAAGAAAAAGCTCATGATAAAACGAAGAAGATCTTTAAGCATTACAATAGTTTTAAGAAATAGCAGTAGCTCAGTGGAAATTAATACTAAAGTAAATCCACAAAATTTTGTATTTCAAGAACCACACAACCAGCAAGACTACATCTTACCTATTCAGAAGTATCGACTTGTATTGGTTTGGTACTTTTCTCTCAATTAATTAAAAACATTGGTTATGTTCCACTTAAATATACATTTAAAAAGGATGAAACTTTCTGTGGAATTATTAAGCACTTCTTCACTACTGTTGATGTGGCCTAAGAGCGGAAAAACATGTCATTTTGTAGGAAACATTTGCTCTGGACTTCAGTTATTATTTCATTGTTTACTTAGGGGTTATTTCAAAGCCTTTTGTCTGTGAAGATGAGACATCCTGCATCTGAAAATCCCAGAAGTGTTGCCAACATTTTTGTTGCCGATACACAATGCCAGTGTCTCTTGTAAATGAGCAAATATGAGAATAGTGTAAATGCTTTGGGGCTTGGAACTCATCTCATTAGAACAAAATAGCCTTTGTCAGCCTCAGTACAAATTTCTACAGCACTTACCATATTCTGAGAGATCTCAAGCTTAGGTAGTATTATTTACAATGCAGCTCATTCCCAAATACTGTGCAAGATAAAAGATGTTGTAATGAACACGTTTGTCCTTTTTATCCAAATGTCTCTTTAAATGCCCAATTTGTGTGTTCCTAGGAGCACTTTGAATATCCAAAAGGAAGGTAAAGCTGTGCTCTTTGTTTATAAAAGAGATAAAGTATTCAGTGTAGGTTGATGGATTGAGAGGAGTTTTCTTGCTCCCATTATATCCTTTCCACCTCAGGAAGGATCCATGCAATGCAGATGCACTAGCTTCATGTTCTTCAGTCTGATCCCTGTGGCACGCCTACAGGAAACAAAATTCCTCCACCTTGTAAATGCTTGCAGAATCAGATCTTAGTACAAAATTTCAGTATATTCCCTTCAACTCCCCAAGCTGGGTAACTGGGTAACAAAAATACCTCAAGGCAATGACCTGCAGCAGAATGCCCACCTGAGGAGACAGGAATGAACCTCTAGCCAAAATAGCCCTGCCTTCCAAGAGCAGAGCTCTCATTCTAGTCCTTCTGCTAGAGATTGGAGAGGAGTGAGGGATGTTTGAGGTGTTTCTCTGGCAATTAGCACTTTCAGTTGCCTGTGGCAGCAAGATTCTTCCAGCACTCTTTTCATTGTTCTTCCATGTACCTGCAGCAGAGAAGAAACCTCAGAAGCCAAAGAGATACAGGGAGGTACACTTTTGAAAGACCTAAAACATTCATAAAATTCACTGATCCCTCTGCAGTTGTGCAAAACCCATAAGGATCCCTTACCAGTGATTCTTCCCTTCTTCACCCATCACCACCTTCTCTCTTACCAGCACAGCTTATTATTGTGTCTACTACAGGATTTGCCTGCATGTGTGAGAAATCTTGTGGTTTTGGCAGCTGGACAGCTTCTTACATACTGAAAGTTAGATGAACACACCTCATTTTGTACAAAGACTCTACCTGGATCAGATATAACAACATCCATCCAGTATATTGCTGATATTGGAGTCTGGTTTACCCCTGATGGCCTCTTACTAATTATTAACACTATTTGTATTATAGTCACTTGTGATCCATGCCTGTGAGAAATGCCTGAATGCAGGGCTGCAGATGACATCCCTTCACCAGTTTCTGAATAACCTTGACACACATTGAAAAAGGATTGCAGGTTCTCAAAAGTGAATTAAATCCTTTTGTTGATGAAATAAGAATGTTCAATGCCATTGTGAATAATAGTTCGGGTTATTATGTTACGCTTCTGGTTCTCTTGAAACAAACACAGATGCACCAGAAGTAGATGCACAAATAAATATTCCATAGAAATAAATGCTGATAACCCACTGAAGTGACTGAATCCACCAATAACCTGCCACATTTAAAATGGAAATGTGCACATTTTTATTTGCATCTTTAATATCCTGCTGTCTCTAGAAATTCTGACTTCCTTTTGGCATCAGCTGGTCTGCAGCCACACTACCTTTCAAAGAGGATATGAGTAATAAGCAGGTCTTATTTAAATTTTTTCACCAATCAGTAAGGATCCAGTCTTCCCTAGCAGAAATCAAACAAATAGCTTGGAAGCTGAAGACTGAGTTTGCATTTCTATGTTCTAATTCAGCCCATGGACATGCTATCAGCCACAAGAACACATAAGGGAGAAAAAACTTCAGAAATGTAGCTTAGAAGCTCAGACAGTTAGTTCAGATTTTTGACAGACCACTGAATACCCAAAGAAATCTCATTTTCTGTGTCCACTCTGTTCTTCCCGTAGAGGTCATATTCTTCGGAGTGTGTGCTCCCTGGTATGACACTGAACTTGTGTATTCCTTGAAGATTGAGGAAGGATGATGTTGTAAAGTTGCTGGTCTCTTGCTCTGCTGACCCATATTGTGCACTTGGACTTTTTTTTTTATCTTTTCTAATATAACATACACTGTTTTTACAGATCTTGTTTGACTTCTGTTAAAAAAGAGTAAAGAGATGACCTGGCATTCTATACGGATGTGGAATAAGTTTACTTTGGTGCCATATCAATAGCTGATATATTGTTTTCTTTTACAGGTCATGGACTGTGCAATGCCTCTGATTGGTGAGCACCAGACTGAAGACAGGCAACACATAACTGAGCTAGTTGTAAGCAAAATGAACCAAATGTTGTCCAAAACTCCTATACCATCTCCTCAGAGACCCACTGCCACTCAGCAGCCTCAGGTAGGAAGCTTCTCTTTGCAAAATAGAGAATCTTATTCTATACTTCTAAGCTCAGAATTTTTCTCAAATAATTTGGCTGGAAAACTAAACAGGCATACCCTGAACTGCAAGGAATCAAGAACTTACCAACAAGTTTTATGGATTTTTCATATTTTAATGAGATTACCTCCAGGTGTAATTGAGACGTGCAAGTGTTAGTATGGTTCTAACAATAAACTGTTAACAGTGCATTCAGTGAATTACCAGGTGTTGTTTCCTTTCAGTTACATCTGTCTAAAATATTGTGGAATAATAAGAAGCACTGTCACAGACAATCTTTGCCCTGAGGATGTCGGAAAGAATACTAGGACAATAGTTCTTGTTGTTCTTGTGGGAAATTCATTAGATGAAAAACATTTTTGTGTGCTGCAATTCACCAAAATACCTCACAAATCTAGGAAATTCTTGAAATGTTGTTGGTATACTGGAAAACGTGTGTCAAAGGTTGCAGATAGATGCATTTCACTTATTTTGTCTTACATGTCTTGATAGTTAAAGTGTGGGAAAGCAGAATTCTGCCCAGCCTTGCTACCAGCTGGCTTTCAGCCTTTGGAAATCATCTTTGTGTTTCCATTTCCGTGCTTACAAAATGTGAAGATTGTATTACTGACCCTTTAAATAACTCCTGAGACTGTAGTATTTTTGTAAAAGGCTCTAAGAATGTAAAAGTTTTGTTAAATTGGAGAGATAGCAGCTTAGTAGGTGGACTATTAGGTGGATGTGGAATTGGCTTGATGCTGCATCCAGAGTTATGGCCAACAGCTCAATGTTCAAATGGAAACCAGTAACAAGTGGTGTCCCTCAAGGGTCTGTACTAGATCCTGGGGAGACATTATTGTGGCCTTTCAGTACTTAAAAGGAGCTTATAATAAAGATGGAGAAAGACATCTTATCAAGACCTGCAGTGACAGGGCAAAGGGTAGTGGCTTTAACCTGAAAGAGGGTAAATTTAGATTGGATATAAGGAAGAAATTCTTTACTATGAGATTAGTAAGACACTAGAACAGCTTGTCCAGAGAAGCTGTGGATGCCCCACCACTGGAAGTGTTCAAGGTCAGGTTGTATGGGGCTTTAATCAACCAGGTCTCGTGAAAGATGTCCCTGCCTATGGCCGGAGGAGCCAGATTAGATGATCTAATCAGACCTAAATGTCTGTTGTAACCCAAACCATTCTACAATTCTATCACTCTGTTGAAAAGTGCTGTATAAATGCTAAAGAGCATCTTTTAGATCTTCATAGCTAGGCAAATGTGATCAAGAGCAGCATGATCAGTTACAACTTCCAGGTAATTCTAGTCTACTGAAGGAATCAACCATGACAATACATGCTGACATAAACTATTAAGGACTGTACTGGTGCTCTGTACCAGCACAGCTCCGTGGTAATCAGTTAAGCAACAGAATAACCCAAACTGTAATACAGGAATTACCAAGCCTAAATCAAGAATCTATTTTTACTCCCAGTAGGCTCCACAGCAGGTAAACAATTTGAAAACAATTTTGTGGCATACCTCAGACAGACTAGTTCTTGAGGCAGAGTGACTAATTTGTTCTTCAAATATATCATCAGGCTTTAAGTTATAAAAATACACCATCCCACATAAGAAAGTGGTGTGGCTTCTATTTATATTACAGCCACTTGAAACTAAGCACAAAATTGTTTCAACCACAGAACCACATACAATGGAGAAGTTTCCATCAAACATGACTTAAGTCCATTGTAAAGGGCACTGAAAAAGAAAGACAAGGACGGGGAAAAAAATAAATCACCTTATGCCAAAATACAGTTTCTTTTAGGATTAGTAAATTAGCCATATATTCAAATGAAACAGAATCGAATTTAGAGTTGCCCAGAGCATACAAATCAGCATAAATCAAAGTTTAAAAGTTTAATAGATATTATTACAACATTAATAGATTCACGGCCATCTAAGGCATTTGCTATTTCACATTTTAGGGAAATAAAAATGTAAGGTCTTGGATAGGCATGTTTCTCTGGATTTTAAAGAGGACAAGGGAGGAGGAATGTTTACAGTTACTGGCATCATCCAAAGAAACTGGTTATCTGTTGTATGCAAATAAAGTTTTTACTCATTTCCAAAGACAAACTGCCTGTGTAAGTCCAGAATGAAAATAGGACACCAGGAATATTTTAAGAAAGTTACTGAATTCCTCAGTCATTGCTGTCATTCATCATGCCTGTGAAAAGGTATTTTTCCTCTTCAACAAGTTTTGGATGAATCCGAAGCTAGTATTTGCTGGCTAGCTGATGAACTTCAGTTAGATTTCTACTTAGTTTAGTTTAGTGAAGAATTTAGCCTTTGCTAATGACTACAGGATGTTATTCAATGTTAATCTTCTTTTCTTTATCCTGCCCTTAAATTATGGATTTCAGCTGACCCAGAACAGGAATATCCCTTGAGATTATTTGCAATATTTATTAGCTTTCTTTTGGTTAATCAGACTCTGCTTCCTTAAAGATTTGCCTTGTATTATCCACCAGTTTAGGACAAAGATCTGAATTTCTACAGAAGTTACTATTTGCAAAATACCCATTAATCTTCCCAGCCTTAAGGGAAGATCATGAAACAGATCTGTAGTGTTTCAAACAGATCCTCATATGTAGTTAAAAATTAACTAAAAATGTAATCAGTGTGTTAAAACAAACCATCTCTTTCATCTTGAACGGTCTTCTTTTCTAATCTGAGAAATTATTTCCTATTCTTGAGAAATACAGGTAATTCATTTGCAGGGTGTGGGGATACTGCATATTTCTATAAATCACAGAAAATGCAAAGGCAGTAATCTATGCCAAATCAACTATGTGCGTTTGTATGTGTGGTCTTAGAAACCAAAACAGTATAAATATCAAAGAGTAATTTGTGTGTTTTGCTACTGATGCTTTCAAATGAACAGTTTACAGTCAATGGTACAGCTATAGATGTCCCATATTTTGAATTCCCTTATTATCTGCATGGGTTTTTAAAGATTATTTTTAACCTACTCACCTCTGTGGCACTGGGTGCATCGTACATAAAAGAATGTTTCAATTTATAAACGTCTTCAATGGTCAATACTATTCCAATTAGCTATCCATCAGAAAACAAATCAATAATTAGGAAAATAAGCCTTTGTTTAGAGCTGTACAGCCAAATCTTGATGGAAATGATTGGCCTTGCAGTATGTTCTGATGGCCAACAAAATTCTCTCTGTCAGAGTGCCAGAAGGAGCAAATTCCAAAGGCAGGGACCTCATATAAATGTCTTGCTTGTGTTGAAAACTCAGAGCTGCAGATCCTGTGATTCTTAAACCTATTAAATCTATAATCTGAGATATCTGATATAGTGAGACTATTTAAATATATATTTTTATATTACATATGTATTTATTTATCTATAAAGAGTTGCACAAGCTCTCTAGCAAGTTCTAGTGGTACACTGAATGTTAGAGAATCTGTGATGGAGAAAAGCTCCAGTTTGCAGCTCTGTGTGTTGCTCCTCATGCCACCTAACTCTTGCTGCAGCCAACAAGCTGGGTCTAATGCTTTTCTCTTGAGGTCCCAGGCTACAGTTTACTGCTGTATTGAGATAAAAAGTATCCTTGTTTACAGGATTCAAAGCTTGCCAGTTTTGCTCTTACCAGCTACTTTGTGAGTCTTCCCACTACAAAGAAAAGCAGGAGACCCTGGACTCAGAGATGTTCTCTCTGATACAATTCTTTCCAAAAATGAAGTGTTTTTTATTTAATTTAAAACCACAACAGCTTGTTTTACTTACAACCATGATAAAAATATATACTAGAACTGTATTTAGGAGTATGATTTTAACGGAAGTTTTCCATGAGACAAACCTGCTCCACTTCCAGCCAATAAAATGATGGAAATCTAAATTTCCACCTTTTGTAACCTCTTTGAACACTTCTGACAGATCCTTTGAGAAGCCTACTTCATATCTTTCCTAAAAACCAAACCAGTAGGTTAAACTACCCAGTGAAATGTTCTAGCCAGTGGAATCACTTATCTCTGTTTCCATCTGTTGATAGGAAAAATCACTGCTGAAACTTCTGCTGTCTGGATTTGCAAAGCTCTGCAGGTGGTTGCTGAGTGCAGGCTGGTTTATGCTTGTGTCTGTAGCAACATTTGTATATAAAACAGTAATAGTAAAACATCTGTTCAAAGCTGCATATCAAGTCATGATATGAATTGTGATGAACTCAGTTCTGTGTAGAATATTACATTGGGCATGAGTGTTAACATAAAATGTAAATGTTTACAGTTGTATTAGCAGCTGAAGCTAAGGAAAATCGTATTAGGAACATGTTCTTTCAGTCCAGCTCTGTTAAAACCATGTTCCATTATCCACAAAAGAACAAGGAATCCATTATCCTTAGTGGAAGGAAGAAATTGTGCACCAGAGAAATAATACCCATAATAGCATCACATCACAAAGAGCACAGCGTTCCCAGCCATGTCCTGGCTCAGTTCAGTTTAACAGAAAGGAGTAGCACACCAGTAATAAACCAATAAACTATGCAGGAGTAAAGGGGACAGTAATTATTCTGAGACTAGGCTAACAGAAACTGAATATTTCATTTTCATTTCTAAAATATTTTAATACCTTCTTCACTCTTCACCCACAGGGAAGTTCAGTACAGTTACATTAAGTTCCATAGAAACTGGGGTCAAGGAGCCTTCATTGGGATATCTGCAGCTATTTAGAGATCTGCTTGGATTTATTCCAATTTTTCCTATTTTCCTCTTTATCTTACTCATTCTTCATTCCCTGACCCTTTATACTGACTTGAGCCAAGCAGTTTTCTGTAGTTTCATTTTTCTATATTCAGAGAGAAAAATGAATCAAATGTGAACATAGTATAAATAAAAAAAAGTATTACCTCCATAGCGAGAAGCAAACCGTTACCAAATTACCTATTCTTGGACTTCCGTAAGAGTAGTCACAGAT